CATATCTAATACATATGATTTATATAGTAGGGTGCAGGCAGGTTTCAAATACAGAATCCCTCTCCTCTCTGCTGCACACAGATATTGCAGGGGAGCTATATAAAACCACCCCGATGTAATATTTCTTAGATGCTGTGGCTCTCGGAAAGGTTGTAATCTCACATTTTGAAAGATTAAAGCTCGTTCATACAAACTATAGCTGTGCATTGAACAGCAGATGCGAATGCTTGGCACAGTCTGTACGTAGCGGATCTGCAGCTTAGAATCCAGTTGGTTTGATTTGCAACTAGTCTGAAAGTCTGTTATAGCAGAGCATTAATATTTCATAAGCTTCGGTCAGCGTCGAAACATATGTTTTGTGTGCGGGACCAAGTCTGTGGGTAGACTAAATGAGCGCAAATGAGAAACGGAGAAAGTTGTAAATAATATGAAATTGAAGTTAGAGTAGCGTCTCATAGGAGCTGTCTGCACATGATTCTATTTGAAACCCTGTATCAGCCTGAATCTATTGATTAAAATCCACAGGTGCGTTTACAATAGCAGTTTTATTTTGTTTTCAAGAACATCAAATTACATTAGAAATATGCTATGTGAACATTTAGCTCAGAGGTCTCAGACTTTTTTGGATTGACAAAACAGAAATGGCAGAGAGCTATTCCCTTTTCTGGTCATAACAGTGTAGTCTTTTTAATAACTGCAAAAAATTATATGAAAATATACAAATAAGCTGTATCTTCCAACTTCCGTGCACATAAGGTAAACATTTGTAGAGGAAATATATAAGTAATGATAAAAAATGACTCAGCACCATGTGTTAATTTCCTGATCTTTTGGGGAGCTCCTTGTGCTTCAAATACAGAAGGCTCAAGGTTCTATTCCACCTCTAGAAAAAACCTGTCTGTGTGGAGTTTGTATGTTCTCCCTACATAGGTTTCCTTCAGGTGCTCCGGTTTCCCCTTTCAGTTGGACCATGTAGGTCTGACATATGGCTCCTGTATGGCGTGAGAGGAGATATGCCCACAACAATTGTAAAGCGTTTGTTACTGTCTGTGAAAGGCGATATGAAACTTGGTTATTTACTAACTGAAAGCTACTCCACTTATCCACTGATCCAAGTTTATACAAATAAATTAATACATTGAAAAAGCTTTTAGTGGTTTTTGAGACAATATAATATTTTACAAAAATAGGCATTACTCCTTGTTGTGCACTGAATGTGTTAAAATTTAAATATTTAGAAGCAAAGCAGCCCAAGTTCTCCACTTACACATGCGCACAACATTTCCAACTCAAGATATTTAGGCTTGAACTGAACAGATGTTGAGACAATGCACACAGTGGGGATCATGATTTGACACGTAATATAGGGTTTGGCAATCTACAGGGTATTCTAGTAAGAGTATCGTCAACTTTTACTACTCAAGCAAGTGCAACTAAGGCAGATAATGTGTCTGGAGCTGCATTATGGAGTGTGACTGCAGCGGGATTACACCTCGATGTTTGGCATGCTTAAAAACGTGCAACAGTGAGCTACGGCGCCAACAACAGTGAACTATGGTGCTAACAACACAGCGTCAACACAGGAGCCATGTGCACCGCGACCTGTCAATGCAGTGGTATTTGAGAAGACTGCAGAGACATGGCTCCAACACATCCGCTAACATCATTAATGTGTGCGACGCCGCGACCTCTGCTTCGAAGGTGGGATCAGGCGGCTTCCCACTGAGAAAAAGACGGGGAGTGAGACCAGATACAGTTAGTTGTGAGAGCTGCTGAGAGCTGATACAGGCACATATATGAAAGACTGAAAGGTGCCAAAGAGGAATGTTCATGCTGCTTCTTTATCATTGTACACTGCAAAAAAAAAAAGAAGAAAATACTTACACAGTGGACTATTCTAATGCTACTGCTAATGCGACTCTAAGGCAAAAATGTGTGTTTAAAAATTTGAATTACTAAAACAACCTACAATTCTTTTTAATTTGGTTTATGGTTAATAGTTTACAGTATATTAATTGTCTACTCCATCCATCCATCCATCCATTTTCTACCCTTTAATCCATTTCTGGGTCAGGGGGGTGGCAGTCAGAGATGCCACCCAAGTCTCATAGCACCAGCCCCTCACTGATCCTCTGCAGGTGGTGAGTCCACAGGAGCTGAGATCTTCCAGCGGGGGCTTTTTAATTGTCTACTCAATGAAGACAATTCGAAATTCTTTAGTTTATATCACCAAATAAAGAAAAACAGTGACGGTTGACTGAGAGATTGTGTCTCAGTCTGACGAGGTTAAGGTCAGGTTTAGATTTACTTTGCCCTCAGTGTTTGAACTATCCTTCAGTGCTACTGTGGAAACTTATCAGTATGTGGTTTCAACATTCTGGACTATCTTTCCTGATCGTCAATTTTTTTTGGTGGTGGGATAAACCAGGACCCAGACATTCACTAAAGGCACTAAACCAGTTTGCACAAAGTGAAGCAGGTCAGCATCTCCTTCACATTCCGCTACTAAATCGCTCATGTAATTAATCGTTAGTTCTATTGTAATCTTCCTGTTTATTATTACTCCTCACAATGCCGCTGATTCAACCTCTGTCCGCGCATCACCAGCCTGATTACAGTTATTATTTTTAATAAAGGCTATTGGCTTGGGATTTATTGAGTTTTGTGAATAGCTGGTTACGGATGGATGGGTTGAGATTCAATATCCGTGATAGTTCGGGCCCACACTCCTGCACACAAATCCAATCTATGCACGATCAGAAGTGACACCAGTGTTTACCGCTGACAGAGGCGACCTATGGAGACCCAGCCGCAGTGACGGACAGGGCAGGCCGAAGCAGAACGCCATCAACAGGCTGGAGTGAAGCTTTCCTGATAGAGAGGCCGTAGAGTGGGATGGCGTATTCCAATGGCTTCTCTGAGAGCTCTATCTCGCAGGCATCTATCTGGAAAACCGAGTCTCTGGCTAAATTAATTGGATGTCAGTCAGAGAAAGTGAAATGGAGGTGAGGGAGTGACTTAGACCTTTGTGTTGGGCGGCGGTGGAGAGGCGGCTCACAGATCTACCCTTGACTCCTCCAGAGAGCGCGTTTAATCACTGCCACTGAATAAATGGAGAAAAATAAAACCCCTTGTCCCTGTGGTCAGCGAGAACGTAAATAGGAGCAGGTATTGGACAGAGAGGGCTGCGGTGAATAATAGCAGGATTCATTACCAGGTTCATTTGAGTGGAGCGGCTGCTTTAGAATAACTGTGAGGAAAAGGCATTGGGTAAAGTTGTTTCCATTCAATTCATTAGCACTTGCTGCACGGGCATCTTAGTAACAAATCCACATATGTTTCCATTTGTATAAGAGTCAAGCTCAATACACAAATCAAACAAGATTAACTGCAAGATTGATGTCTGTCCTAAAAGAATTCAGGTTGTTATTCCAGAATGAGATTTTTTAAAACCTAAAATAGTTCACTGTTTTGCACCTAATAAATCAGGTCCTGGAATAAAAATAATGAGTAAAATAATGTCCCCATTTAAAACAGCTACCGACCGTCAACAACCCTCCCCCAAGAAGTAATGAGTTAGATAGTTTCAAAACTATCAAGAACAGAGCTATTAAAACGAAAATCAAACACTTCTGAAACTGGTAAATAACCAGATGTTATGCAATGCAGTCTTCTTAATTAGCTTGAATCATATTTATATTTAAGCATTGTTATAATTGTGTGCTTAGGAGATTATATTGTAAAGGTGTGTAATGGACCTTTTGCGGTCTCCTGTAGTTTTGCACTGAGAAAAGCTGATAACAACAGCCGCGTTTCCACCGCAGAAACTTCTGGGTATTTTTCCAGGGCCAGCCCCGTCGGTGTTTACAGGAACTTTTACGGGGCCCAATAGAGTCCCTCCTCCATGCTATGGACTCTGTTGGGCCCTAGTGGGTCTTGAGGTTAAGCCCGCACTGATTGGCTAAAGCTAGCGCAGACTCCGACGCCAGCAGAAAGCAGCAAAACAACCAGCATTAGCCTAGCAGCATTAGCCTAAAAGCAATAGCCAGCAGCATTAGCCTAGCAGACGCCATTGGAAACAGTGAACAACAGCACAATGATTCAGACGGGGTTTGAGGCATCTTACTTACTTACTTACTTCACACTCCAAAAACAAGCCGTGAAAAGTTTTAAAAAACTAGAGCAGGACTAGACCACAACAACCGGAGCGGTTACAACCGTAAAATAAACAAATGGGTTTGGCGTTTCGCTTGTACGGCAATCAAAACTCATGACGACGCCGAGTAGGACCACTCGGACCACTCAGCGACTGCAGTGGAGACACGGACACTGAGAGGACCGAGGGATAGGACGGTTCCTGTAAAAGTTCCACCCCGCTCCTTTAAGCCAGGAACTCCTGCTGTGGAAACGCAGCTAATGTCAAGTTTGCCAAGCAGGAAGTGGCTGTCATTTCAAGAACAAAAAAAATAAATAAAAAGTTTTATTGCAACTATAAATACAAATTGTGTGCTGTGTCTCAGTTGTCAGAGTTTTAAGTTTTCGGCACAAATGGAGGATGATTTTCTAAGGCTCGTGAATTAAAGGGTTCAGCAAGTACAAAGGCAAAACGCAAAGGCAATTAACTTGTAATATAAAATTCTTAGTTCTGGAGTAAATTGCAATGTCCTTTCAAATAATTCACAAAGCACATATTGCACATCAATTAAAAGAGAGGAGAAAAACAAAAACACATCACAATGTATAAGCTTCACAAATCATTCTAGACACTAATTTTCAAGCTACACCAAAATTAATAGTTTCAACACTGCGCATTTATAGACATTTATGCTTCTCTATGGCCCAATGGCATAGTGTTGCTTATCGCACTGTTCCAATCTGTTTTTTGGAAACTTGAGACGACTGCTGTTGTAAAATAAATATAATTGAATTGAAATGCCCATTGCTGATTTTACCATTCAGAATGTAATATTTCTTGAACTCAATAAAACCAGAGATCTTACCTTCCTCGTCTACAGTAAACGTCTGTGTGTTCATCTCCACGTCCTCAGCCTCCTGCTCTGTTTTTGCTTCAGTCTCCTCGTCCTTAGCTGGAAAATAATATAAATAGCTCATTGTCGATACACATGGACATGTTACACCATTATAGAAAGAAGACGCCTGACAGAAGTTGTCACGCTCATTTTCACTTGCTGCATGCTTTGAATCGCAATTCTCTGCCGATATTACAAGCCTGATATGTTAGGCAGCCCCCTTTCTTCCCTCACTTGCATTGGCATAGATGTATTTGATGCCAAGAGAAAGATAAGGCAAAAAAAGGAGAAAAAAATCAGCCACAGCAAGAATTTGAGTTCATCTTTCAAACATATTAGTCAAAGTATCACATAGAGACAAAACTTAATCTGGTCCGTGATGGCACATTTTTTTCACTGTTTTATTCATCTTTTAGACAGACGTATTTGTAAAATGTGTGAATTGAACTCATTTTTTTTTAGCAACCCATTAAAATAAACCATTGTATCTTTCCTCCCAAGAGCAATTGAGAATATGAGTGCCACTTATGTCATTTTTGTGTTACAAATAGGCAACACATTTCAAAAGGTTATGGCTGATGTACCGAAGAACCAAAAGATGCAAATATGCTACACTGCAAAAAATGGTCATTGAATCCAAAACTAGCACAGATATTTTTGTGAGTGAGATAAACGTCTTACTCTTGCCAGGTGCACTATAGTCCTCAATCCACAATGCGAACCCAGACCTACGTCCTGAGTGGTGTCAAAAATAAAAATACCTTTCTCTTGGCTTTCAGCAGTGTCTGCGTCTTCATCTTTTCCATTTCCAGGATTTGTATCTTTGCCTTTGCCTTGCTTCACTTCATCTTCCTTATTTTCCTCTGGCTTTGGTTCATCAACGGCCATTTCTTCATCTGCTGGCGAAAAAAAGTTAAAATCAGGACACGGTGAAGGATTGAAAGGAGACATGGAGAAAAAAAACGTATCACGTCAAAGTCCCCAAAGCATAAACGAAGTCCAATAGTTCATCACAGCACAGACGGACACTCGAGGGAAGATTTCTATGCTAACAGCTTGTTCTATTTGCCGTTGGAGAGACGGGTAGTCGACTAGAAAAGCGACGCTGGAATGTCAGAAATGCTACCTTTTCTATAGATGAAACTTCACAGTGACTTTGTAATGCGTGAAATTATAGCAATGACTTCCAAAAAGGGAAGGCTGCAGAGAAATAGCAGCTTTTCACAAACTGAATATAAATTATGTTTTCAACTGAGGTAAAAAAAGACAATCTGACCTCTTCTTAAACTTCATATAAGACGGTGTGGATGAAGGACGACAGCATAGGGCTCATCCGATTTCATTTTGACTTTAACGTTGAGATATTAAGAGAATAAAATCAAAGTCGCAAAATTATGAGAAGAGAATAATCTTGCATAATGTAGACAATTGATCTCCTTTGTACATAGCAGCTAACTGAACGGTGAGACGCCTCGCCCAGAGTTCACTGAAGCTCAAGAGAGTGGGTTTTCTTTCTTCTCCCCTTAACTGATGACTCCATGTAACAGTGGTGTTATTATATATGTCACAATAAAGTGTGAGCGTACGAGCGGATGCTATCGTGTCACAGTCGCAGGTGAAAGAACGCAAATTTATGTGACAACTTTCCCCCACGGAGCTCCTTCACCTGCGGCTGGGACAGGGCACGTACTTGTGGACTGAATTGATAAAATAATTTGTATATAACGTTGAAACCCAATAGTGCAAGAGTAAATCCATTGAAAGGTTGAGAGAAAATCCATTGAGAGGCTTTGTGAACTCTGGATGGGGAGAGAGAAAAGATTATTCTCGTACTATTATGACAAAAATATCAATTACGAAAATAAATATGTTCTGACTTCCACTTTATTCTCATAATATTTTGAATTATTTTCGTAATATTTCTAGTTTATTCTCACAATTTTATGAGATTTAACTTGTGATATTGCGGCATCGACTTTATTCTCATAATATTTCAACTTTAAAGTACAAATATTTTGACTTTAATCTCTAAGCGTCAGGCAAACAAATCTGGGGCTCTGTGCGTTTCTACATTCCAAGGACATTTTAATACAAATGTTTGATGCACACACATACACACACCATTACACTGCATGATATTTACTCGTTTGATATTGCAGTTCAAATTTCAACATTACCATTGTATATTTAACACATATTGATCTACAGCTGCTGCAAGTTAACAGCAACAGGCCAGAAATATGAAAATGAAATCGCTGTCAATTCGGCCTGCAGGTATTTTTAAATAGATGAATACCCACTTCCACTGGCTGCTTCCATTATCTGTAAGTCCTATGAGGAACAAATTGCATTTTCTAAGCTTTGGACTGAATCCCAATCTTGCATTTTATCCAAGTTTAGTACAAAACAACCACCCGAAAGTTCATGCTCTGAGCGTTTCTGGCGAATGGTTGTCAATGGAGCGAAATTTGAATAAACATAAGAGAGAGGCAAGCCGCTGCTCACTGGCAATATGCAAATGCGAGAATCTTAATTATATAGCAGCAGCGCGGAGGATACTTGAAAGAGAAAAATGGTGGTAGCTTAAAGTTAATGGCTGGGCCCTTTGTAACACGCGCACCCAGTCATTTCACTTATAACTGACAGCCCATCGGAGAGTTGGGTCTTTAGCAGCAGCAGTCTGCATGCCCAATTTAGAAAAGGTGGAAGTTATCCTCACTGCAGGGATAGGACAGAGCTTATTAAAGAAACTGTGTTTAACGCAAAGGGTGGTAAATAAGTCACAACATTATGGGTTTGGGATGGATTCAGTCTCGGTGCAGAGGTACTCTAAGATGTGTCATTTTCTGAATGGCATTTGGTTTGCAATGTTATTTTTGTAGATATGCAAATTTGTGTGTATTCATTAACTTATGCTCACATATTTTGTTGCTTGAAAGTTGATTTGCAATGGGCACTATTGTGAAATTCTGTGACGTCCCGGAGGGTCTGGGGTCTGATATCACGCCTATCTCCGCCGTTCAAACAAATATGCCAAAAATTGTGCTCTCCTGGAGTTATCCAAAATGGCCGCGAGTGGTCCCACCCACAAGATATTTGTGAAAAAATGCATCTGCGGATGCGTCAGCCGGCGAGAGCTCCATTCATTAAAAGAGCGACTTAAAAAATTCACAGCAACTAAACTAGAGTGGTCCAAAGAAATTCACTCCCCTCAGCATTGACACACATGTGGAACGGAAGTTTGGGCCAAGAGCCAACTTTTGGACCATACTGTAAAGACGTTTTCGAGAGGTAAGAAGATGCTATATGTTAGCATTGGCTAATTCTTATACCGGGTCCACCCCCATCGGCCCGGGGTGGTATTGCAAGCATGTCAGCGCATGTCATTTTGGCCCCTATTGAGCCGGGACCCGCCCCCACTGGTCCTGCATTTACCAAGTATATGGACTGAGCTGAGCTTCTGTGTGACAATTGATGAAGAGGCACTTGAGGTTTGTGGACTTTTCTTTTATGTAAACATTGTAATCTAAAGGAAATAAAAGCGACAACTATATTCTAAATACTTTTTCACGTAGATGTGTTTGAATTGTATCTGGGAACACAGCCTGGACAAGTTGATGTAATGTCAAATACCCATCTCGCTTAAATGAAAGTATTAACAACTAATACTACTGTACTATGCTAGTACAATACTAGCGTGTAAGATATTAGAGAAGCAATATTAATAACTCTAAGTGAAAAAGGGGCTTACAACTACTACTACTACTATTAATACAACAGAATGAATTTCTTAGTATGATGCCCATCTCTCCATCTCATGCAGAGCCCATTACCCATAATCCTCCTTATGCACAGCTGCACTGCTGTGTGTCTACAGTACCTTGGGTTTGGCTCAACATATCCACGTCAGCGTTGGCTTCAGCATCTGGAAACAAACATTCAAAGTCAGCAGAGTTCAGTGCTACTGCCGCATTTCAATATCACCTCAGAAAACCCTTTCATTCTCTCTTCTGTCTTTGGAGTAGCTATGTCTGTGTAACGCAGTGTGAGAGCAATGGAAGAAAAGAAGAGGGAAAAGAATGTCACTTCTAAAGCCATACATAATTGAGGGATTTCTTTGTTCCATGCGTTTCTGATAAGACTGATTTTTTTTTTATGATTGTGGTGCAGAAAGACAGTCTGGAGCGAATGGCAATTTAAATCTTTCATGACAAATGACATGAAGAAGCAGGACACAAGCCGCAGGCCTGAAACTCATATGCTAATGGTCCGTAGAGGGACATTACCATTGGTCGCCTCCTCTTCATCGCCAGCTTCATCAGCACCTGAAAAACAGACAACAAACGCCATTAGTGAAGGGAAAACATTTGGAGTCATGCTCATTACACCTCATTAAAGCTTACAGTTAACTGTGAATAGCTAATGATATCCTAACACTGAAAGATGTGAGAAAACTGAACGTTGAAGAAGTTTAATATACCCAAAGAACTTTCTGAAAGGTCAACATGAGCCACTAACAGAGGGGAACGAGGGATACCCACATGGACATATTACCTTTGGCCAGTGGGTACCGTCTGTCCAAGGCAAAAGTCTGTGGAATAGCCTGGAGAGAATGCCCTACATATGGCTCTTTTATAGCTCAAATAAAAATGTATTATGGTCAAATGAAATCTATAGAGACGTATATATGATAGGGAAGAGAAAAGTGTGTACAATGGTTTGTTTAATAAATACACAAACATTTACAGACTTTCTTATCTTGAGATTGGAATTTTCATTTTTTTTTTCTTTTTTTCTCAACATTCTTCTTTGTAAAACAGCTCAAGCTTGTGAACTGAAGTTTTCAGATTCTTCCACAGATTCTCAACTGGATTTAGAGTATATCAACAACATCAGTCACAATATTTGGAACAATTAAGTCCTAAGAATCAGGAAACTTGTACGTCCCCTCTGTTCTGGACCAAATCCTATTAGACCGTTGGCTTTATGTGGCATCGTCTCTGAACCAAATGCATGGACCGTTAAGAGGCTTAGACATGACACATGACACACAATGTACGTCCAAGTCCTTAAATCAGCCGGGACTTTGCATTTTGAGTGGCTTTCAGAGACATTACTTGTTCCATGTGCGTATATGTTATACCATAAAACTATATACAGTCATCCATTTGATAAATCCAACACCGCTCCCCCTGCTCTATCACGCATACATAGACACACACACAGTGACATTTAGGACAAATTGAGTAAATGAAAGCCATGACACCAATAAGAGAACATTCTCGACAATGGCTATTGTGGAGCTGCTATAATTGCTTTTTTAACAAGCTGCGGAGAGAAGCCATTTTTCCATATCTATGCAATTTTGCCCCAGTACTCCAAACAATAAAAATGCCAGCTTCTATTAACTGGGAAAAAGGCCAGTTGTGCCAATGCAGCGTAGTAGACTCAAGTAGCAGTGTCCATCAAAGAGACTGCTCCTGACACACAATTCTTTCTATTAATCAAGAGTGACATTTTGAGACGTGTAAAAAGACACGGGGGCTGCACTCAATACGGTATTGACAGAAAATACATTTATAGGACGAATCTTTCTGTCTCACGACTATCTCTTTAACCTTTCCTCTGCACTGTAAAACTATGCATGGCTTGTTGTGGCTGTCTTAAGTGATAATAAACAACAATACATCAGATATGACCAACGACTGAATCCAATTTCCTCCCTGTTATTAGATCACTTGGCTTTGCACTATTGAATGGAGCCAATTTGTGGTCGAGCAAGCACAGGGTCCTTAGTTGACGTCAATGGACAGAATTTCATGAAGCGGAAATAAAATCTAGGATTCAGTTTGAAACAAACTCAAGAGGAGATATATTTGTGCATGTACCGACCAGCAGGTGGCAGCATGGTTACAGAGTTAATGCAAACTTTTCACCAGTGTCTTCACTATGAATCTGAAGCATTTCAGCATAAAGTCCACACCCCCAGACTCCCACTGCCTGCACTGCAAAAATATAGCGGCTTTCAGTAACATACATTTATCATTGACAAATAAGGTAAAACAAAATATTAAATAGGATTGTGTAAAGCAAACAAGTGCACACATTTGAGGACTTTATTCTTGAATAGCCTCAATTATTCTTTTTAATATTCCTCTTAACATTTAAGAATATACGTTTCCTCAATTATTTCATGTGATGATTTTGTAGTGTATGGACAGTTTTCTCCCACATGAATGAAAAGTCTAAGTGCTTGGCCCAGTTTAAAGTAATCCTCGTCCTCACTCACATAAAGGACTACTATCCCCTACACGTGTAGTAGATGTTTTATTTATGTCAACAACATATTCCAGGTTACTGTATCACAAGATCATTAAGTATTTAGACCCTGATATTCAGCCCTCTTCTCGTGTCCTAGTTGTTTGACCAGACTTCCAGAATAGACAACATTCAGAAAAATAGTCAGGAAAGTCAAGATACAAGTTCACTTACAAGACTGATTCATGATTTTCCAAAATAAAACACATCTACAGTAACAGTTTTTTTCCCCCATAAACATGGTATCTCTCTACTTTGCGTAACAGCTACTTCACTCTTATAAATTCATAGTACACATTTCTTATGACCATGACAATATCAACAATCCAAGAGAAAAAATTAAAATTAAAAAGTAAAACCCCTATTTCTTAAATTAAGTTACATTTGCATCAGGGTTGCAGGTAGCATGATGCAAACACAATGAAGGAACATTTAAGTGATAACTTTCCATGGTTTACTTGCTTTGCCAAAACAACATTGCAGAAATTGCAGGAAAAATAAAATACTAGTCTACAACGATTGCTAAAAGATGAATGAGCCTGAGTGTATAGTGCAAAAAGGGCTTTCGGAGATGACCAAGACCTTTGCATGTCAGATGTGTGTGTCTAGTACTGCAGATGTTGAATGATGCATGATGGGAAGCTCTTGTTAAGGTCGACATCTTATGGAGATCCCTGCATCTGTCCTCAAGTGGAATTATGATATTATTATTATCAATCTGATGTCATCCATCACCATAGCTGTCCTGTTTGGCCTGGGTCAGTGCCTGGAGCTCATGCCAAGACCAAAACCCTCTTCATCACAGACATGGACTCTTGGCTTCAGTCATTTGCCTTTTACAGTGTGCCCTGACATCTCCTAATCTTTGTAAAGCCAATCTGATATCAAATAATGGACCGTACAGAGCCGGTTGCCAGGTCAGGTGTGCTCCGCTCCACGCTGCCAAGTTTCCCTTATTTCCCAGCACAAAGTCTATAAAGGAGGTTTTTTTTACAGTACGTAGCTGTGAGCGCTGTATCTCCACGGCACGCTTGTGTTTCATCTGGATTACATCACACGACAGTCGCCCTGTGTAGTTAATCTGACTCGGAGAAAATGTAATAGAATAAGATGTATTTGAGAAAGAGTTTTGTTGCACTATTTGTATTAAAGGGTTGTGTCTCTAAAATACCATGTTGTTAATGTATTAAAAACATTAATAAAATATGTTGTGACATCACGGATCAATTGGAACATAAATTCAATGCATAATTCAGGTTGTTGCATTGGCTTTTTGACATATTACCGATTTCACCAGTGGCCATATCCAGCAGTGCTCCAGCAAAATCAATGGCTAATAATATGATTGAGCACATGTTGAACTTGGAAAGAAATTCAACAAATAGTCTATTTTTTTTACTTGTCGGAAAGAACTTGGCACAGGGTGTTCATCCCATGACATTAGAGAAATCACTTTTTTCAATGGTTTTATTCACATTTTGGTCACGATGGAAAATCAAATCCCAACATGGAAAGTGCAGCAGTACAAAGCTTTTTTTTTTTTTTTTTTTTTTTTTTTTATATTTGTCTTAAAGAACCTTCAAGTATCTTCTTCAAATACCTTTGACTAAACTAAATTTACAACACATGGGCAAGTTATGGACATTTTTGTTATTTGTACAACATTTCAAGTAGAAGTTCAACGTAAAGTAAAGAAAGTGAGACCCCACAATAACGGAATAATAGAATACAATAACTCCTGAACAGTATACAGTAGTTGTATAGAAATGACGTAGACATCACACTAAAATAGATTCAAATCAAACACTGTACATCAATAAGAACATTTCATTTTCTCACATAAGCAAAGCCAGATTTAGCACAAGTGCACACTCACGGTTCGGAGGGAGAGCAGGAGGAGGAGCTCTAATTACCTGTGTGTACATTTTCCTCTTTACTTAACTGCAAAACACAATAAAAGCTTTTACCGACGCTTCAGCCCCTGGGTAAAAGTGCAATATGACCAGATGGGGGGTGAGTGAGAGCGAAGCCTCCTTCACAGAAGCAGGGATGGATCCAGTACTTACACAAACACAAAGCCCTTTCAATCGTTTTAGTCAAATAAGAGACTTTATTCTGAGAGAACGTTATACAAAAACTGTGTTTAACGTCAGCTATTTCAATTAGATAGTATTGGCTGTCGAATAAGCCAAGTTTAATTGTTAGGGCTGGATTACTTTCAAATCACAACAAATCGACCTTAGGGTTAGCATTAAAATGATGTATGGCATGTCCATTCGGATTCACTTTTGTTAGAGATTAAGTTGGCTCCATGTCATGTGTTTACTTTCTCACCAGTTACATTGGCAGCATAGAAAAAATGTTGTGCAGTGAATAGACATAAAAAAATAAAAGTTTATTTGCAAAGCAGAGGTTGGCTGGATGACACTGAAATAAAATGTGAGATATATTTGCACATGTAAGGTGCGTAGTAAAATTAATAAATATCATTATCATTATTATTAAATCATATTACTGCAATTTAAAGGTATATGGGAGAATATGAAAATTAGAATGTCAAACTGTGATCACAGCATTCTAAAACTCATAAGCACTCAATCAAACCCATTTTTATTTGTACCATTCGAAACATGAAACATACTGCCACATCTCTAACACCCCATTCGACGGTCATGTCCATCAGCATTCAGTGTTTGGATGTGTACTCTGAACTCCAAAATCAAATTCTCCTAGTCTGAAAATATCATTGTGGTGTGACTGTGGCTTGCATTTCTCGTGCGCAGTGCTATCTGACATCTGAGTGATTAATCCCTTCTCCATCTCACGCACCTAACCTTTAAAATACAGCCACGGATACAAAATCATTTCACTGCCTTCCTGAGAGAGGTTGTCTCAAGGACTGACTGTTCTCAGGCTGCAAAGCTGTGCCAAGGCCTTTTGTGAATGGATTAGTTACTATTAAGCTGGCGGGCCTGATAAATTAGGATTTATAAAGATTATTACAAAATACTTATGCCCTGCTAATGCTGCTGATTGAATTTGTGAATCATATTGAATTAGTGCAAAGGATTACTGGAAGGTACTGTATACAACCGAAAGACATGCAGTGGTTTTCGTTAGGACCACATAATGTATTAATTAAAAGAGTGGGATTATGGATAAAGTTTCACAACATCGTTCCTCCATCAAAAACAGACCTATAGTTGTTTTGCATCCACGCTAATATCAAAAACTTCTCCGCAAACATGTAGCTCCGCCCCTTCCGTCTAAAAGCTTCTGTCCCAGTCCTTTAAGAATATGATGTCATTGTACCGCTATGACATTCTCAGTTTTGTGCTGGTTGAAAACAAAGGTAGCTCCCAAAAAGATCTCTTACAATCACATTCAAATTTGTACATTTTGACCAAAAACCATCCCCTTCCCACTGAAGGTAAGTAAGTAAGTAATCTCTATATATAGTGCCTTTCACAGACCACAGAGTCACAAAGCGCTTTACAATTGAGGGAATTTGTCTCCCACTCCACACAGAGAGCGGGGTAGCATTGGGAGTTACAGACAGAACCTCTTTTTTACCCTTTAATCTTATTTCATCATATATTTAACTTTTTTATTTATAGGTTATTATATAAAATGGCAAAGTAAATAGTCTCATTATGATCTGCAAAAGCCAAAATAATGCTTTATACCCAGGACAGCTCCATTTACGCAGTATTATTGACTGAATCATTACTTTTTCACGGACAGGGGCGGATCAGGTATAGTGCATTTTTAACCAGAAAGAAGTGGCTGGGCAATGGAATCCAGCCAACAAAATCAGAGTCAGAAAATCCTTCCTGCATCCAGAGCGCAACACGACGGCTATCTTTAAAAAATGCCCCACAACCTTAAGGCTCTGAGACAAATGGATGGTGTTCCATTTTAATTGCCTACCAACAGCCTGGAGTGTGAGAATCTAATTATCTTCGGTCCATCGTATCAGAGAGGCCTATAATTGTTTCAATATTACACAACCAAAGGGGCTGAAACTGCACAATGGCCAGATAATGGCTTCTTAAACAAGTTTACCGCCAAGAAAACATTCTTTAAAAAACACGGCTTCATCTTGTATTCATTTCCCCATAGAACCGCTGAGATTAGGTGACCGCTGTTGAGCTGTTAAGAAAAATCTATACTCAAGTAAAAGGATACTTGGCCCCAGATAATAAAGTCAAACAAGTAATAAAAGGGCAGAAGGTAAAATGCAGAAAAAAGTCTGTATATAGTTGGGAAAATGAATTGAATTTATTTAACTAAGCTTTGGTTTGCTGCATTTGATTTATTACATAATGTAACTTTCCACGCTCTTTGGTCTACCAAAACAAAATTAAAAGATAACACTTGATAAAATGTGCACGGACAAGAGTTGAAACCAAATTGGTTATTTGAAAATGTAGTTTTTATTTCATATACGTATCTCCATTTTAACCCGTGATGATTGCAGCTCTCTCCGAAAAAAAATAAGAAACCTTTTGACTGAGTTGAAATGTATTCTAGTGCAAAACAGAAACAGATTTATCAAATACTAAAAACTATATAAAAAAGTAATGGTAGTAAAGTCTGTGAAATTGTTCCTCCTAAACAAATACTACTGAAAGGATTATGGTTGCACCTGTTTTTAAGTGAATGCCACTTACTTTTCAATTTGTGAAGAGAGAGTTAAACTTTTTGAACAATATCTTAGACCCACCCATTCTCACCACCACAGCCTCCTGATTGGTTAAAATGTATCAAATCTCTGTGGCTATTTGTCATTCGTTTAACTATTCTCTACAAATTATGCAAGGGACAGAGACCTTAATGTAGAAAAAATATTTACTGTACATAACACTTGTACTATGTATACAATGTCCCACAGTCATATACATTATCTATTATCTATCTACAATTGAAGATCTTTAACATAATGTGATTTGGAATCAATAGTGATGGTTCAAGGGGAAACACAACAACCCATCAAAAATGTCACTATTTCAAATACTGCTGATAATACCTCTGTGACTACTTGCATTTTTACAACAACAGGTCAAGCGAATGATGAATACAAAAACACATACCCCTGTTGGCTTCTTCATCCTCCTCCTTGGATGTGGAAGTGGGCGAAGGTGGCGTGGCGTCTGCAAACAGCAAACTATACATTAAAATCTCACTGTCAAAATCTGAACAGAACACTCATGACTCATTGTTGTTGGCATCTAGTTCAACTTTCCCAAAAGCTACGAAACAACATCATTTAAATTCACATTCTTCTCAGGGATTGACCACACACACGCCCCACACAACACACACACACACACACACACACACACACACACACACACACACACACACAACACACACACACACACACCACACACACACACACACACACACACACACACACACACACACACACACACACACACACACACACACACACACACACACACACACACACACACACACACACACACACACACACAGAGAAATGTCTTGGAGTTTGTTTTATACCTGTCTGACAAAACCAGTCCAATGGGGCACATGAGAAGAATGTGAGCCTTTGAGAGCGTCCTGGGACAATAGCCCTATTTCATGTGTGAGCAGGCTTCATTGGGACGACTGAATGGGGTCCAGACTGATTCAGAGTCAAGCTGATGGAACACAATCAAAGGCTGTTCATGGGAAGAGGACACTATTAAACTGAGCCAAACTGTCCGATCTGCACCATGGCAGCGACAAAGACTCGGCCGAGAAAGTCCAGTGTTTCTTTGGTCTCAACTTTGATAAAGGCCTAATTCTTTCTGCTACTGGATTCTGCTACTGCATGGTCACATCATTCAATCTCAAAATAATCTTGAGGTATTGAATTCCATTGGTTTGTCCATTCCATGATGTCATAACGTGGTAGTCTGTGTTTTTAAAATATAAATTATGTTATAACATTATATGTAAATCTTTGGGCATGTACTGTATATTCCAAAGATTACATGCCCAAGATTATTCACATCTCTCTTTCAGGAGATGTGAAAGAAGAATGTATGGACAAAATCATTTTCAGATTTGAAATGTATTAATCTCATTTTAGAAAATTGTGCTCAAAAAAGTCACTTTAATGTAAGTCAATAATTATTCAGTACATAATTTATATTGCACTTTACACGCACGTTATGGCACAGTGGCAGAGAGTTTAGCACTCTCCCTCTCACAGCAAGAAGGTACTGGGTTCAAATCCCTGTTGAAACAAAGCCTTTCTGAGCAGAGTTTGCATGTTCTTTGTGTGACGGTGCAGGGTTCCTCTGGGTGCTCCGGTTTCCCCTACCACTAGAAACATGAGTAAAAGGTAAAATCCTCACACTCTGCTCCTCCAGACCAAGAGCGTTAAAATCTGGATACGTGTTCCCAGTGTGACGGCCACTGCTCCTGACCGGTGAGCCCTAGTGGCATTGCAGGAGGGGTCACATATATAATACATACTTCATTTAACTGTAGCCTTCATTGAGTCCACGACCAGCAACCATTCACTCACTCAGCCCATTCACTCCTATTGTATATGTTTTGATAGTGCAGACACAGGGATAACATGGAAACTCCAGTGTAACCCAGGATAAACCTTTAAAGTTTGCAAACATCTCTCCAGACTTCATCATATGTCCTCAGTATACGTACACGTTTCTAATTGTGATTCCTAGTTAAGAAATGTGCCCGTCCTAATTTTGTCCTGTTTGAGATGAATTATAGAAAGCCCTCAGAAAGCTAACCAATGTACTTTCTGCAAAAGCCGGGACACTCACTCCCAGGAACAGAACAAGCTCGCAGACGTTGATGGAGGCATTTATGACTCCAGAATTACGCTCACATTGTTTCGCTCGGCGGGATCAGATTTTACAGTGCACTTATGTAGCAGTCACTCTTTTATGTTGGCCCAAAATTGAATCTCATTGAAAACACAGATGCGAGTAATTGGCAAATCATGGGGTGACTTTGAGACGAAAAAACATTTTGATAGAAGCCCGCGTCCTACATCAGCGCAGTAATCAGGACTTTCTTCAGCAGAGGCAGAGTAAGACTAACATTGATTGTGGTCTATTTGGTTGCATGTGCTCCATGGTGTCTTTGAGAAAATGACACCGAGACACGTGCCAAATCCACTCAACAAATACAATCATGAAGATGGGGCTGTAAGCTGTTTTCACTTCACATTCACCCTGACAATTTAAACAGGAGTCATCTGCCAAAGCACACATTAGAACAAATTTAAATGTATTATTGTAGTTCATTGTTTTCTTTCCCTTTCAGTGGTCATTTCTGGCATAGATTTCCATCTGCCTCTTGGGGTGTAGCAATCCTCTGCCAGATGCTCAAAACTGGGTAGTGCTAAGACACTTCTCCGATCGCAGTCAGCCTGGAGCGGGATAGTGGAATTGTGGGCACTTTTTTAGCCTCAGCAAAAATTAATTCAATGTTTTCCCTGATGAAGAGGAAGAATATACTCCTGGGCTACAGTAAAATACGACTGATCTAGTTAGTTTTTTTTTCATGCCAGAGTTATAGTAGCTTGAAATTTTACACACGTCTTTCTTCCTTCCTTCCAACAGAAAACAATCCAGGAACAGTGCCATTTCGCCCATTTGTTTTCTGAACCTTTTGTAAAATACTATCATTTGTAAGTATCTTTAGTCCACAAAGCATTCTTCAAACAATGTTATTTACAATCACAATGTCCTTGGTGAAAAAGTGAATGTTGTTGAACAACAAGCTGAATCCTGATCTAAAATAGTACATTTTTAAAATTCTACAAGAAATAACTGTCCATAAAAGACCAGCACTGAATAAACCTCGAACAATAGCTTCCAGAAGGGCTGTTTGTGCCATTGCTTATGCAGGACATGAGTGCACAGCCTGGTGTCAATAGTTGATGTTGATAAGCAGTATCAGGCAGTCTCAGGCCATGTGCCAAGATGGTGCCGTGATAAAGGCATTATGTGCTGACAGTTGTGTTTGTGCTGCAATAGAAGAGATGCTGCATGGCTGATTCTTTAAGAAGCCTGCAGCTATAGGCCCAAAAGCAATACAACACAATACTGTTGGGAATACGCTCAGGCCTGTTCCTCTCCCAGTGCTTTTATTAAATACACTTTCATTTTAAACAACCTATAATATTTAAACAACTTTGTATTAAAGTCATGCTAGCTTGTTTTATTAAATTTCACATATAGGTTGTGCTGGAGAGAAGGATGAGGGCTCTAAAGCAGGGCATCCTGGGTAACCCAGACACCCTCTGGATGACATAAGGCCGCTCAGAAGTAATCGAAGCAACAGGCTCCTATCACTGCGCTGTCGAACGGAACGTTTCCTTCGGCTGTCAGACTGTACAACAGACCTGGATCAGTCTTCTGCTGCTGGACACCCGCATTCCTCCAATGGGGGATCAATAAAGTATCTATCTATCTATCAATCTAGGCTTAGGGTGTCCACTTCCATAAAACGCAGAGTAAATCTAAATCCACAATGAGCTCTCACATTTCTTTCATGTCTCTTATATATAGACACTTTTCTATGTTACATTATTGTGTCATTTTCATTAGATTAGAAATCATTAGATTTCATTAAGGTCATTAGCTTAAAATAAGTATTTATTTGAGCACAATGTTGCGGGTTTTTATATTTAAAAGGCAAAGCTAAAATATAGCTTAAAATATAAACAAATAATTGATGAATAAAAAGTAATAAAAAACAACATGCAACTTTGGACGTGAATATTTTTACTTATTTGACCTTGTAGTAGACCATGTGAGTGGGCAGCATGGAGGCTTAACTTTTTACCACGGTCTACAGTGTCTACTGTGCTCCAGGATAAGTTGTTTTGTAGGTGTTTGTAATGAAAATAATAACAACCGCTGTTTATAAAATACAAAACACAACTTATTGATGATAAACTGTTCAAAGCACCCCTTAAAAGGCTTGAATAATGGGTAATATAAGAGACTCCTGTGACTATAATCCATCTCCTCAAAACAGCTGTTCCTAATAATACAACCTTTGAATGAATAGGCGTTTGAAATGAAACCTGACATGAAGTATTTTAACTGTGACATGTCTTGGGTTCAGCCTGTCATCTGAATAAATAAACCTCAGTTTGATGGGCTTCCAGTGAAATGCAGTAAGTGTGTGTGTATGACTGCCGCAGGTGCACAGGTGAGGACTGAGGAGGAACCATGAAATCCTCTGCCACTCACCGTCCTTAGGCTGCTTCTTGGGAACATCCGTGTCGTTGTCTGTAGACGGAGAAAAACACATGAAATTAAGTGAAAATTAATTAAAGACCATAGTCTGAGAAAATTGCTGGAACGTAGCAAACAAACCAACAGTGGCAAGTACATTTTAACCTTTTAATGAAGAGAAAAAATGCAGGTGAAGCTCAGAAAATTTTATTATTGTAAAAAAAAAAAAAAAATGGCTTACATACCATTTTCAAAATATTCAACTTTTTTTTTTTTTTTTTTACACAAAATTTGAATGATAAAAGTACATTGACTTTTAAATTGGCTTTTCAGATTTACTAGTACCTCCATCACCTGCTATACTACTATCTTATAGGTATTGGTATATTGACAATGTTATGTGATATGTGATAGCACAAATCATACACAGTTTCACAAATTCATCTTACATTGTTCAAATAAGTTATTTTATTGAGACACTGATTATTAAATAAATAGATTGTTGATAAAACAATGTACCAGAACAACCCACCAAACAAAACAAAAGAAGGTAGCGAGTGTGGAGTGTCTGTGATCTCCTTTGTTCGTATACAAAAAAAGAAAAACATGCCGACACTACTTTACCTCCCTATAGCCGACTTTGAAGCTAGTCACAACATGAAAACATGCATACCAAAAGAGAGGAGGGGGTCTGAGACTATTGACAAGACATTCCTTTTCAATTAAAGATCCTTTGGTAAAACTCTTACATAGTCAAATGAGTGAGACTGGCTGCACCTCAGTGGCTCAGAGAGAGAAAAGCCCTTCGAATTGTGCTGCTTTTCTCTAGGAGGCTATTGTAGCCGACAGAGAGAGTGGACTGTGCTGTTTCAGAGTGCATGAGTAGTGGGAGTTGAGTTTAGTTCAATAATGAAAGGCTGTGATGCAATTGCGCAGTAAGACAAAGACCAAAATAATAGAAGGACTTAAAATAACTGGAGAGAGGCACGGAATCCTTTATGATCAGACTAGCCATGAGTAACAAAACATAGGCAAGCCGCATGTGTGGTGTTGAAAAGTAATCTAACTTCATATTTACTATACCTGTTGAACTGGTAACTCTTAAGGCATTATAGTATCAGAATTGCTACATGAGCCACTAAAGAATACTTTTTATACAGCAGACTGGCTTCCCACAAACGTTTACTTACATACCTAAAGTAACCATTACCTAAAAGCCTAATGTTGAAATCTATTATTTATCATCAGTGTAATATCCAAAACCAAAAGAGAAGACACATGTCCTGATTTAGTCCCAGTTTAATATTGTTTTTGCCAAGGTGTTATAACATATTAAAGCTGCACTAACTGACTTTATTTTTGTATTCATTACGTAAATGTTATCCATGTCCCTGCAGTGCAGGGGGATATACGTCCCTTTGAAGAAAAAGTAGCGCAGATTTGTGCTGGCGTGACATTATATTTTAGATTGAAACAAGGAAGAGAATGTGTTTCGGGTCTCTGATTGTGACCAATCACAGCGGACCACTGGCCCCCACTTTAGTGAGAAATCTACAGGTCCGTTAGCACAGACGGCTGAGTTAGCACAACAAGCGGCGGAGCTAACCTGAAACTTCCTTGACTTCGTCACCGGTTACTGCTTACACAACGAGACAGCTATCCAAAAGAAAGTCTTGTTCCTCCGCGCTCCCCGGTTCTATCGTTCTATGGTCACGCCATCCACGTGAAAATCCATGTCCATGTATTATCCATATTGGGAGACGCTAGCTCCGTCAACAACAGTGGGTGTGTGTGGGGGGCGATAGCTTCGTGGGTGCGGGGAGGGGAGCAGAAAGAGCGAGGCCAGCGGGTCCGCGGCTTCAAAATCCCAAAGTCAGTTAGTGCAGCTTTAAGTTCTTGTTTGGTTGCATATTAGTTCCATTGTTAGGAGTCATTGAAAGTCAGTGTGGGTGAGCACTGTCTGGGTCTTTCCGATTCTTTTCATACAGTAATTGGTTTCACATTCGTAATAACAATGACCTTATTCTCCATATTCTGAAATACTTTGCATGACATCTCTCATTTGATTTTACCGCATAAGTACATAATGTTCCATTGCAAGACAAATTTCAGACTTGGACTCCAAATGCGGTTTTATCTTTTCCAATTTTATCTCATCTCACAAACCTTAGAACCAACTTCAATCATTATCAGGTTATCATGCGGCCGCATACCCGATTCAGATTCATTTATTTGCCATTTTCAGTATGCCATACCGATTCCTTTGAGGTCAACAACAAACAGATGCATACATAAATATGCCAAACGTTCCCATAAGCCACTGGTGAAACCCCCTCAGATCTCCACAGTGCATAGCCTTGAGTCATAAGGCATATTTATGTTTCTCTGCACACAGCCCAGCACGAGCCAGGTCTGCGAGTCTACCGTAAGCATTGCATTGTGGTTAGTGAGCGCGGTTAGCAGGCGTTTGCGTTGATGAAAGGCTGTTGTCATCAGCTCTGTGGAAGTGTAATCGTCAGAGCTCCCGGAGGATTCAGCGACAGGATTTTCTTTTGTACAACACTGAATGAAAGGGTACAGTGCATTAATCTCACCCTGCTCCAGCGAGACAAAGGCCAGAGTAACAATAGAGCCCAAGTGGAAACACGGACAGTCGCATGTTATGGTATTATTACTACTCCTCGTCCGCCCTTGACACTGGATTGGGGTTGTCATAAATGTCATAAATAAGTAAGTTTGGTGAGTAAGAGCGAAGGATGTATGTTGTAATGTGCATACAGTATCTCAACACATGGATGGATAATGAGCTTTAAATTCAGCCAACTCGAAAACCACACTCATAAATTGACGTCCACAAGGGACAATGTGATATTTTAATCGTATTGCCAAACTTCATATCTTTTTTTTTCCAGACCATGAAGCTGCTTTCAAGTTGCACAGAGAAGAGGCAATATAAATCAAACAACTTAGCATTATATTTTAGTGACTCATTTCTTTTCTGTTTAAAAAAAAAATAAAAATCTCGACATAATAGCTGTTTCTTGCATAATGAAGAAATAATGTAGAATACAGAATAGAGCTGAAAGACCAGGTAAGAATTTTGGGGGACACTTCGGTATTGTTAATAAATACACAGTAAAACCTTACTATAATCATTCTGCATTCAAAGATGAACAAAGATAGAACCATTATCTGTGATGTACAATTGCTAATCTTTTTATTGTGGTAGCAGCAGACGTTCATTCGTAAGTGTTTCTGGAAAATGGTTTTGACATTTCTGAACATGAAATTTAAGATTCAAAGTCCCACGTCAGTAATAAAAAGGTTAAAAGGCAAAACTTTAGTAAACCTTGGTAGACTTCACCATTGTGAGATCGATAGTTTAGCTAATTCATGCCAATTCATTTTTACATGTTTTTTTTGTGTGCCTGATTCTGTCTCACTGAAGCAGGAGTTGTGGTTTGGGGAGGATTCCAACCAGAGCTCGAGTTTGTAACAGCAGCAGCCACAGCCCCCTTGGTCCATGTCTTCTCTTTACACACCATGTTTTCACAATGTCACACATGAAAGCGAATCCACGTGTGATCCACCGCTGAATGAGACACTGCTGATCACATGACTAACACACCATGTCCTGCTTCTATCCCGCCCTCCAGGGATGGTCCCTCCAACAGACACAGACCTCATTTTCAACACTTGCACGCTTCCTGCAGTCTTGTATATCTTTTCATGAGCAAATTGTGATACAGCGCGTTAGGAGAGGTCTGCGAGTCCTGATATGGGGATGTTTGAGGAGCACATGGTACTCGCATTAGGGGGTCTGCAGTCCTGATGTGGACAGAGGCGGATGCTGAGACAATCCAGTTATAAGAACGGTGTAAACGAAGTCTTTTGAAAGAGGTTAGCTCATGTTAGTATTCAGGGGTACAGCCGCTGTGTAAAGATTCAGCTCCATTGGTAAAACATTTTTTAAAGGCATTAAACAAAATAGTGATAATAATCCACCTACATATGAGTGAAATTATGGTAATGTTACCAACCTTGAATTAAGGTCTATTCAGAAATTAGAGGTCAGAGTGTGATAGTTGGTTTATGACAAAGTGTGAAGTATGGCTTTTCAAAAACAAAGTCAATTGTAAGAAGGAGAAAAAGATTGAGGATGGCTGTAGCCTCGCAGATCTGTGGACTGAGTTAATATCGTGAGGACTGAGATGGAGCCTGCTGCCTGTGGGCAGCCACCCGGATCATATTAGCCCAGGAGTTGTACCCAGAATCAATTTCAACATGCTTTCATTCTCCCACAACCACAGCTGCTTCACTGCTTCCTGCTCGCAAATAATACGTGCCAAGGCAAGCATGTGGTCAATCAAAATCTATGATCCAATCTGAATACCTAATAGGAGCATGTCATATGATTAATTGCATTGATTACGCTCTTGGAGTATTAATAGGGTTTACTCACACATTCATTTCTCTTTTTCAAATGTGAACACTGACTGAAGAAATAGTGAACAGAACCAAACCAGGGACCAAGCTTCTCAAACAGAGTTATTTATTTGTAATAATAGTGTATTAGCAGCTGTAGTCTGAACTGTGCAGGAGTTGCATCTTAAAAATAACAACCCTGCAAACACTGTCTGTTTTTATAAAATTTTTAAGACGTGCAATATTGTTCTTGCGGGGCACTGGAATGCGATGACATGTCAGGGATGAGCAGAGGTGTCAAAGTGGTTCCAGAAAGGGCAGGTGTGGCTGCAGGTTTTAGTTCCAACCTGAGCCGCTGCACACCAGACTCCACCCATTTCAACAAATCTTAAGTCTGTTGTCTCCAGCTTAGGTAGGAATGTTGCTGTTTTTATACATACATTTATAATAATATATAATAATAATAATATATATATACATCACAGTTTTTTTTCACTGTTTTATAAAACATAATAGTTTCAATATAGATAAAATAAATACTTTGCAATTAAAAAAATCTTTGACTAATTTCCATTAGTGTCTTGTCAAGGCCATCACAGCAAGGCTTTTTATTTCATAAACCTTATTTC